TCACTAGGCAAACCGATGTGTTCACTGGAGTGCCTTACCCTCTCCCCCCGGCCCCAATTAAGGCGGTGCGGTCCGGTATCGGATTGCTTTGAAGTCGACCGCATGATGGATGTGCCATGCAGAGTGTATTGAGTTTATCTCATTAACCAATCAAATTGTGCTAAATGCGTTGTTTTTGAGTGTTTTTTTGTGTTTGAGATGCTAATATCCCACTTATTAATTTACATCATCTGCCAAGGGAATCCAACCATCACGCAACATGTTAATTGTATTGCTCTCAGGAACGCCTTACATGAGTAATTTGCTATGTTTTAATCGTCCCGAAGTCGAAATGTAAGAGAAGCAGATCGACATTCATGTGCTTTTTATTTGATTTTGGGGGGATAAATCTTGTCTCTTTATGTTTATGCAACATTTGTATACGGATACCGAAATTGGATTTAACATGTTTTTCATGCACAAATTTCATGTTTGTAAGTCCTTTGAAAGTTCCCTGATGGTTTTTCCATCGGATTTGGGCCTTAGTGCTGTTTATAACTACTCCACCGAAGTTGTTCGTGATTTCCGCCCATACACCGTTTGATTCATGACATGTTATCCTATCCCGTGTGCGTGGCTTTATTTACCCCCTTTTGTTTTGCTATATGCAGAGCTCAGGGAACGTGCTGCTTGGTTCATTGCAAAATGGGCATCAGTCGATCTGCAACAGCAGTGAGTATCGTACTGTTCGTTGTGTTTGTTGACTATTTTTGTGAATTAGTTCATGGCTATCTGTTTTTGGTACTTAGATGAACTGTACTCCACTCTTTTGACTGATCTTATACATGTTCGTTTCTGGTGTTTCTCATCCACTTTCTGTATCCGCATCCACACTTGTTTCTAATATTTTCCAAATCATCCCGAGTGAATTTCCTTTGCTCCTGAGTCACGTATCACTCGGATAACATTACGCACATCGCTTAGTGTTGTATCACTGAACTGATCTTGTCCAATGGAAACTGAGCCTGTATGTTTTACTCCTGGGAGGCAATGGTGTGTTTGTTCTTCCAAACCCACAAAAACTAAGCTGTCGGAAATTACAGACTAGATTGATTCGATTTTCTCGATCCTCTTATCGAACAGAATTGATAGCGAAAAGCCGGCTACCATGATAATATTATAACTTTTAGCTATTCTTGCGTCTTCAATCACCCGGCTCCGTTTTGATTCGCATAATTTGTTTCAGTAAACTGTCCATAAATGTTGTCTTGCTGAAGCGACGCAACAGAAATCCTTCAAATGACCAATTGGGAAAGTATATCACACGCATATCCTCACGCGGGTTAGTCATTAAACACGTTAGAACTAGATTTCCAGGGATCATTGTTTTGTTGCATCTCTGATTTGTGGATCTAAGATTCTGTAAGCTTTACAGACCTAAAAACTGATTCCATTTTCACCGAAAACACTTTGGAAACGATGGTCGATTAGATGTATTGGACACACTGAACGCGTGATGTGTTTCGATTGTGTGCAATCGGACCAGCTGAACGACAGTCTTCTCCTTAATGATCAGCCCGATTAGCACAGTATTCCGTTGGTCTTCCTGGCTAGCCAAAGGCTTAGAACGTGACGCTCCGAGGCGTTCCTTCGTTTTACACAATGCGGATCCGGAAAAGTGTGAAATACTTTTTTCAGATCAAGAGGAGCGTATCATTGCTCTGCTGGGAAAAGTATCCAGTTGTCATGGCGCTAAGCCCTGGTTACTCCGATGGTAATGGGGATGAGCTGGCGGGTCAAGCTGAGTAATTTGTATTTGTGGCGAAGAAGATATATATATATATATATATTTGATAATAAGTAGTGTGTGAATGACTGGACAAAATTTCCCTTGAAGCACACGACCGGTTTAGCGGTTCTTGCCGCTCGTCAGGCATGCGTATCCAGTAGTCTTTTGCCAGTTCATTCACAGATTTTTACCCAGGAAGTGTATTTTCGTCACAGTAACTTTGTTTAACATTGGTTTTCATTGGACAGACAGCTGTTTCAGAACCAGTCCAATGAGGAATCAGTGTTATAATTCGATGTTTGAATTCGGTTATATATATATATATATATATATATATATATAATGCCTAACCTCATTCTGTTCACTGAATAATATAATACGACGACCAAATGAGCTCCAAAATGTGACTTCTGTCAGGCTGACGTCATGATCTCCCGTAACGTAACGTAACGTAACGCAGATTATTCCCATTATTCAAATTGATTCTTACATTGGTTTAGAGATATCCGT